TCCATTTCTTCCAAGTTATCCATTTTATTGGCATAGAGCTGCTGATAGTAGTCTCTTATGATCCTTTGTATTTCAGTGTTGTCTGTTGTGATCTCTCCATTTTCATTTCTAATTTTGTTAATTTGGTTCTTCTTCCTTTGTTTCTTAATGAGTCTTGCTAATGGTTTGTCAATTTTATTTTTTCAAAAAAACAGCTTTTAGCTTTGTTGATTTTTGCTATGGTCTCTTTAGTTTCTTTTGCATTTATTTCTGCCCTAATTTTTAAGATTTCTTTCCTTTTGCTAACCCTGGGGTTCTTCATTTCTTCCTCCTCTGATTGCTTTAGGTGTAGAGTTAGGTTATTTATTTGATTTTTTTCTTGTTTCTTGAGGTAAGCCTGTAATGCTATGAACCTTCCCCTTAGCACTGCTTTACAGGTTTTGGGTTGTTGTGTTTTCATTTTCATTCATTTCTATGCATATTTTGATTTCTTTTTTGATTTCTTCATTATTCAGAAGTGTGTTATTTAGCCTCCATATGTTTGAATTTTTAACAATTTTTTTCCTGTAATTGAGATCTAATCTTACTGCACTGTGGTCAGAAAAGATGACTGGAATGATTTCACTTTTTTTGAATTTACCAAGGCTAGATTTATGGCCCAGGATGTGATCTATTCTGGAGAAGGTTCCGTGTGCACTTGAGAAAAAGGTGAAGTTGATTGTTTTGGGGTGAAATGTCCTATAGATATCAGTTAGGTCTAGCTGGTCCATTGTGTCATTTAAGGTTTGTGTTTCCTTGTTAATTTTCTGTTTAGTTGATCTATCCATAGGTGTGAGTGGGGTATTAAAGTCTCCCACTATTACTGTGTTATTGTTAATTTCCTCTTTCATACTCGTTAGCGTTTGCCTTACATATTGCGGTGCTCCTATGTTGGGTGCATATACATTTATAATTTTTATATCTTCTTCTTGGATTGATCCTTTGATCATTGTGTAGTGTCCTTTGTCTCTTTTCACATCCTTTATTTGAAAGTCTATTTTACTTGATATGAGTATTGTGACTCCTGCTTTCTTTTGTTCTCTGTTTGAGTGAAATATTTTTTTCCAGCCCTTCACTTTCAGTCTGTATGTGTCCCTTGTTTTGAGGTGGGTCTCTTGTAGGCAGCATATATAGGGGTTTTGTTTTTGTATCCATTCAGCCAGCCTTTGTCTTTTGGTTGGGGCATTCAACCCATTTACATTTAAGGTAATTATTGATAGGTATGGTCCCGTTGCCATTTATTTTGTTGTTTTGGGTTCACCTTTATACAACCTTTCTGCGTTTCCTGTCTAGAGAATATCCTTTAGCATTTGTTGAAGAGCTGGTTTGGTGGTGCTGAATTCTCTCATCTTTTGCTTGTCTGTAAAGCTTTTGAATTCTCCTTCATATCTGAATGAGATACTTGCTGAGTACAGTAATCTAGGTTGTAGGTTATTCTCTTTCCTTACTTTAAGTATGTCCTGCCATTCCCTTCTGGCCTGGAGGGTTTCTATTGATAGATCAGCTGTTATCCTTATGGGAATCCCTTTGTGTGTTATTTGTTGTTTCTCCCTTGCTGCTTTTAATATTTGTTCTTTGTGTTTGATCTTTGTTAATTTGATTAATATGTGTCTTGGGTTGTTTCGCCTTGGGTTTATCCTGTGGGACTCTCTGGGTTTCTTGGACTTGGGTGGCTATTTCCTTCCCCATTTTAGGGAAGTTTTCAGCTGTTATCTCCTCGAGTATTTTCTCATGGCCTTTCTTTTTGTCTTCTTCTTCTGGGACTCCTATGATTCGAATGTTGGGGCATTTCACATTGTCCCAGAGATCCCTGAGGTTGTCCTCATTTCTTTTGATTCTTTTTTCTTTCTTCCTCTCTGCTTCATTTATTTCCACCATTTTATCTTCTACCTCATTTATCCTATCTTCTGTCTCCGTTATTCTACTGTTGGTTCCCTCCAGAGTGTTTTTGATCTCATTTATTGCATTATTCATTTTTAATTGACTCTTTTTTATTTCTTCTAGGTCCTTGTTAAACATTTCTTGCATCTTCTCAATCTTTGTCTCCAGGCTACTTATCTGTAACTCCATTTTGTTTTCAAGATTTTGGATCATTTTTATTATCATTATTCTAAATTCTTTTTCAGGTAGATTCCCTATCTCCTCCTCTTTTGTTTGGCTTGGTGGACATTTTTCATGTTCCTTTACTTGTTGGGTGTTTCTCTGCCTTTTCATCTTGTTTAGATTGCTGTGTCTGGAGTGGGCTTTCTGTATTCTGGTGGTCTGTGGTTCCTTTTTATTGTGGAGGTTTTACCCAGTGGGTGGGGTTGGACGATTGGCTTGTCAAGGTTTTCTGCTTAGGGAAGCTTGCGTCGGTGTTCTGGTGCGTGGAACTAGATTTCTTCTCTCTGGAGTGCAATGGAGTGCCCAGTAGTGAGTTTTGAGATGGGTCTATGTGTTAGGTGTGACCTTGGGCAGCCTGTATGTTGACGTTCAGGGCTATGTTCCTGTGTTGCTGGAGAATTTGCGTGGTATGTCTTGCTCTGGAACTTACTGGCTCTTGGGTGGTGGTTGGTTTCAGTGTAGGTATGGAGGCTTTTGGATGGTCTCTTATTACTTAAAGTTCCATGTAGTCAGGAGTTTTCTGGTGTTCTCAAGTTTTGGGCTTAAGTCTCCTGCCTCTGGATTTCAGTTTTATTCTTCCAGTAGTCTCAAGACCTCTCCAACTATACAGCACTGATAATAAAACTTCTAGGTTAATGGTGAAAAGATTCTCCCCCGTGAGGGACACCCAGAGAGGTTCACAGAGTTGCATGAAGAAGAGGAGAGGGAGGAGGGAGATAGAGATGAGCAGGAGGAGAAAAAGGGGGACTCAAGAGGAGAGAGACAGATCTACGCAGTTCTCTGTTCCCAGAGTGTTCTCCGTAGCCCAGACACCCACAAAGATTCACAGAATTGGATTGGGAAGAGAAGGGGAAAGGAGGAAATAGAGGTGTTCTTAGGTAGAAAACGGAGAGTCAAGATTGGGAGAGAGTAATCAACACACTACTGAATAAAAATGGGAACTGAATATTGGATTCTTAAATGTCCACAATTTATATCATATACTGAAAAACAAAGATTAAAAATCTAGACTAGAGGTTAGACTCTTAAAAATACAATATTAAAAACAAAAAAAAAATTTTAGAAATAAATATGAAGTTTGGTTTAAAAAATAGGGCTTCTCTTTTTTTTTTTGCAAGGTTATAGTGAAATGAAAATTAAAATTAAGTAGTAGAGGAGTAATAGAGGACTTTAAAAGGAAATAAGAAAAAAAAGAAAAAAATTTTTCCTAATTAAAAAAATCGTAAAAATCTATGAAAATGAAAGTTAAGGAGGAATGGGGGAGTAATAGGGAATTTTAAAAGAAAATAAAAGAAAAAAAAATTTTAATTACAAAAAACAAAGTAAAAATATATGTAGGAATTTCTCTGGACCTGTTGCGGCCAGTGTGTGTTCGGTTCAGTTTCAGATAGCTCCTCGTTCCAGCTTACACTTCTCGATATCTACAGGCCCCTTCCGGTGTAGTCGGTGTTATCTACAGGGATTTTAATCTGTTGCACCTGTCCCTTCTGAAGCAGTTCCCTTTGTTTGTTTGGCTTCTGTTTGCCGGTCTCTTCAGTGCCTAATTTCCGCCCTGACACAGGTGGGGGGAGGTGGTCTCTTCAGGTTGCTAGTTCCGTCGCGCTGCGGTGAGGGACTGGCGCTGCTTTCCCCGTCTACGCTGCTCAGGCTCCCTGCTGCTCTATACGGAGTGTGCCCTGTGCTGCGGAGTGTGCCCTGTGCTGCGCGCCGTTCCAGCCCTCGGGTGTTCCACAAAAGCGCGGACTTGGCTGCACCTGCGTTTTGTGCCTTCCCCACCCAAGTGGTTCAGACAGCCAGGAGCTTGACGGGCGCACTCTCCCCGGTGCGGCGCGCCTTCTCCCCTCCGTGGTCCCAGCCTCAGTTTCCGCCTGCGCCAGTCGGGTGCGTGTGCCTTCTCCCCTCCGTGTCCCCAGCCCCAGTCCCCGCCCGCAGCAGTCGGGTGCATGCGCCCTGTGTCTAGCCACGACCCTCTCGGCGGATGTTGACCATCTAGAATCTCACGACGTCTTTGGTTAGAAACTGGAGTCCTGTTTGCAGTGCGGTAGGGGATGCAGTCCTTGGGGCCGAGCCTGCCCCTTTCCCCTCGGCTCAGCGGGGCTGGGCAGTCCGCAGCCTGCTAGCTCTTCTCTGGACTTGTTCAGACCCTTTGTTCTGCGAACGGCAGGCAGTGTGTTTGGGCCGGTTAATTTTCTCTCTCTCTCTTGCTATCCCACAGTTTAAGTTGGTAACTCACAAAAGCTCCCTCCAATTGTCCTCAGGGCACTCAGGCCCGGTCCTTACCCTAAGCAATGCCGCCCGCTCCTCTCTGTTCTGCCCCCACTTGCTGGTGGCGGATGCGGGCGTCTGGGGGTACTTTTCTGCTGGGAGTTGCTTTTAAGCACGTAATCTGTGGGTTTTATTTATTGTTCCCCTCCCAGTTAGGTTGCCCTCCGAGATTCAAAAACTTCCCCCAGACCCACCAGTGCGAGGGTTTCCTGGTGTTTGGAAACTTCCTCTATTAAGACTCCCTTCCCGGGACGGATCTCCGTCCCTACCTCTTTTGTCTCTCTTTTTATCTTTTATATTTTGTCCTACCTCCTTTCGAAGACAATGGGCTGCTTTTCTGGGCGCCTGACGACCTCAGCTAGCGATCAGAAGTTGTTTTGTGAAGTTTGCTCTGCGTTCAATTGTTCTTTCGATGAATTTGTAGGGGAGAAAGTGGTCTCCCCGTCCTATTCCTCCACCATCTTGGCTCCTCCTATGCTAGGCTTTTAAAGTACAATTTTGGGTAAAAGTAAAAGTTTTGGTGTAGAATATATATGTGTGTGTGTATATATGTATTTATATTGAAGTGCTTTTCAGATCTGTATGCTAATGCATTGCTAATTGTTTTGTTGCAGAACTTCTTGGTATACATGAACAAGCTGCTGTAGGATTCTTAACACTCATGGAAGCTTTAAGATACTGTAAGGTAAGTTGGTTTTTAAGGTAGTTTGAATGGTTTCTATTCACTTGTCCACTGTTATAGAGAGCATTTTTCTCCTATGACAGCATATTTTAGTGCACTACTGATAGTGTATACTCTCAATTCCTTTTTCATCACCCTTTCTGAACTGACAGGCTTATCAAGGATAGAGTTAAGCTGGCTGATCATGCTGAGTTTCCTATTTTTTTAGGCTCATTCCTTTTGAGGATCAGAGGCAGAACCCACTTTGAAATAATTTATGAAAACAGATATTCATTATTGAATATAAATAAAGCTTTTGATAAACTGAGGGGAAAGAATGTCCTATTTGATCTTCCATACTAACAGTATGTTTCACCAAAACAACTGGTAATATTTTGTCAGGCATAGTAAAACAATTTGCTAAATGCCTGAAATTCTAACTTTTGTCTATTTCATCTAAAAAATGATTTCACACTAAAAGAAGAAAAACCCAAGCATTTCATAGCATTAAACTCTTAACACGTGCTCAGATTAGGAGCTACCATGAAGCTCTCATTTTTTGATACATATCTCATCACTTTCCTGCATAATCTGAAATTACTATGGATATTCCAAATAGTTTTAAATGGAGTTTAAATCATTAATGATTTGCATTTAATAAGATGTTCTAATTTTGGAAAAAGAAGTAGATTCCTATTCTTTTCCATTTTAGAATGGCGGTTCCATAGCAGTGGTTCTAATGGTGGTGATTATTTTTAGTAACAGTAACAGTTCTTGCCTTCCTGCCTGCCTTACTTCCTCTTTTTCCTCATCCTCTCTTCCCTCCCTCCTCTCCTTCCTCTATTTCCTTTTCTTTTTTACTAGACAGCATTCCTCTTTCGTGACAACACTTGCACAGGGATGTTATGGACATGATGATCAAATGGTTTCATCCTGCCTTTATTCATTATAGTAATTGTACTGTCAAACAGTAGCAACTTGTACATTTTTAGTGACTTTAATTACACAAACTAAAGTTATTCAGAGGCATTCTAGTGACCACAGAATCAAGCTGTGTCTCCTCCCTAGCACACCCACAAACAACCATTCATATTCCAAAAAGTGTGACTGTGTATGCACATAAAAAAATGGTGACTTGATAGAGATAATGGATGTTAAATAGTTTGATTGTGGTGATCTTTTTACAGTATATACATGTATCAAAACATCAAGTTGTCCACCTTAAATATGTTTAGTTTTTGTATGTCAAAGATGTTTCAATGAAACTGTTTTCTGAAAAGTGTGCGGTGTGTGTTTTGCAGGAGGATAGAGTGTGAAGGTGATATGTTCTGAAATCTTCACCCTGTGGCCTTAAGGCCCTGATGGTCTGGATTCTCTGTCCTCCAGCCACACTGTCTTCTGTCAGTTCTTCATACGTGCCAAGCCCTTACCTTCCCTGGGTTGGGAAGATTCTCTGGAGAAGGAAATGGCAACCCACTCCAGTTTTCTTGACCAGGAGATCCCATGGACAGAGGGACCTAGGTGGGCTCATCCATGGGATTGCAAAGAGTCAGACATGACTTGGCAACTAAACAATGGACAACAAGCCCTAACCTGATGAACCTTTATACTTCTTTCATTTCTGCCTGGAATACTCCAGCTCCTGAATGGATCACTCCTCTCCCCTTCAGGCCCTACGTCAGATGGTACCTCAAAGGCCTTTTCCAGGACCATTTCCCACTGACTCTTTTTCACATTATTTTGTAGGAATAATCACTTTGTAATGACCTTTTTTTGTTGGCTTAGTTATCTTTTTTTTTTAATCATCAATTTTTCTGTTGTCCTTAATGGAATATTAACTCTATGAAAGCAGTCACATTGGCTTTCTGGGTACATATTAGATGCCCAGTAAACATTTGGTGAATGAATGAGCAGACAGTTTCACCAGAATGGTGAACTCTTCTAAATACGTGCATTTGCTTTTCTTTAACTGTTAGGTAGAACAGAGGAATGTTTGTTTTCTGCCTAAGTTCATAGTGGGAAGTCATTAGCTGCTGTATATTCTCCTGTTACCCTAGTATTAGTGCTCTAGTACTACCCTAGTGTTACCGGTCTAGTGCTCTAGCAGTAACTGTGGTGTTTTCTAGGGTTTAAAGTTATTTCTTATGGTATGATACAGCACACAGATGCTCAGATAGATGAAAGGCAGAACACTTTTGTTACTTACAGCTCTAAACAAGAGAAAGCTCTGAGACAGGGCCAAGGAGAGAAGGAGGCCCATGGACAAGGCGCCTGTAGGCTGCAGCCCCGAGGAGCAGCTTCCTTATGGGGACTGGGATGGAGTTGGCTGGGGGCCATGCAACCCATGCCTGGCCCTGCTGTGGGCTAGCCGGCTTGAATAGATTCAGTGGGCTCTGGTGCTCAGGAGTCGTTCCCTTGTTGTCTGGTACCAGGCTGCAGGGCGATTAGGGCCATGCATGGTGGCCTAGAATGTGGGAGACATGTCAGGGAGGTTTGGACTTCATCAGCTGCCTTTTTTAAAGGAAGCTGATCAGCCCCTAGTGAGGACCTCAAAACTAAGTGAAGACAAGCATTTAAAAAAGAAGAAAAATAAAACTCCTACACTGTGATGCTCATCTGTATATAATTATAGCTACCCTTCTGAAAATATATATATACTTGGAATTATATACTTTTCATCAAACATTTAGAGAAACATCAGTAAGGAAATAATTGTGGTGTTATGGATTTTGGAGTCTGAACATTTTCCTTTTTGATAGTGTAGGAAATTGCCCTTTACAGTTAAACTGATCAATTTCATATTATTTTTATCATATGCATTCATTAAGACAAAGGAAACAGTCTCTCTCATGGGCTCTTTGGCTCTCTTTCTCTGTCCCCATCTCCAGCGTGCATGTGTCTATGAGAGTGTACTGAGATGAAAGGTTGACTGAGTGCTTTGGGGTGTGCACTTTAAAAAAAAAAGATATTAAAAAAAAAAAAGATATAGAACTCCTATGCCATAAAATCCACCATTTTAAAGTATATAGTTCAGTGGGGTTTTTTTGCGTATTCAGAAAGCTCTGCCATCATGATCACTGTCTTAATTTTAATACATTTCCTCACTCCAAGAAGATTCTCTACCCCCTTTAGCTGTCACATCCTCATTCCTTGCCAGACCCTAGCGCATTTTTGTCTCTGAAGCTTTGTCTCTTCTGGACAGTACATCCAAATGGAATCCTACAGTATGTGGCTTTTCATGTCTGGCTGCTGCTTTCACTTAGCATAATGTTTCCATTGTTCATTCCTGTGTATTAGTACTTAGTTTCTTTTTTATGACCAAGTAATATTCTTTTGTGTGATTTATCAATTTATATCAATTTTGTTTTTCTCTTTAGTAGTTGATGGACATTTAGATTGTTTCTGATTTTTGACTTTTATGAATAATACTGCTATGAACATTATAATATTAACATAATAATGTATAATACTACTGTGAACATTAATGTTTTATGGACATGGTTCTATTTCTCTTGGGTGTGTACACAGGAATGAAGTTACTTGATCACATGGTATATGCATAATTATTGGAGGAACTGGCAAACTGTTTTCCAAAGTGGTTGCACTATTTATGGCCTTTCGATTTATTTTTATTATTACAAAACACTGTATGAGTTCACTCATTTACCCTTTGATCCCACTGTATATAATTTTGTCCACATTTTTTTTTTACTTCTACCTTAACTAAACACACACACACGCCTGCACAGATACATGCACACTTTTTCTAGAAGAGGGATTAAACAATGTCTAAACTTTGCATCACAAGAGGCAGCATGATTTGAGAGCAGCATGATGTGAGACAGCATGATGGAGAGCTGCCACATTATGTGTCAGAAAACATGAGTTTTAATTCTGACTCTACTAGTTAGCTGTTTGAAGTCAGACCAGGCACTGATCCTGTGTATTTTCCGGTTTCCTTACGTAGAATGGAAGGACATGGCCGAAAACCTGTAAAATCCCTCAATTCTGAATCTCTGATAAGTTTTGTCGTCTCCTTTGTCCTTTTACTGTTATCTTCTCTGTTGTCCTCGGATCACCCTTTCTCCTCTACTGGTTGTTCATTGCGATGAGCACATCCGGCTCATGTCTCCATCACAGGTCAAAAGATAGTTTTACTCCCCACTGCCCTCCTAATGATCACAATACATTTCAAACGTGGTTGAAAGCAGGACACCATAGTGAGGCTTTTGGCTGCTTAGTGATGAATAGTTGACCCTAACTGGCTGCTGCAAGTAGCCACTTGGAATTTCCCAGTTCCAGTGGGGGTGGGGGTGGGGGGGGCGGGTGAAGGCCTGTGTGAGAAAAGAAAATTCAGCAAATGTTACTGGTAAGGTTACTTGTTTTTCAGAGTCCTTGTCCATTTAACAGTGTGTGTGACTGATGTGAACATGGTCAGATTTCACAAGTCAGTTTTTAACCTGTTGATTTTAAGCTTGCTTTTTCTCTGTCACACAAAAATCATACCCTTAAATTTTTGGTGCTATTGTTTTTATAGGTTAAGTATGTAACCTTGAAGGCAGGCTATAAGGTATAACTTTTTAATATATTTTAGAGAGAATTAATATTGTGTAACTTTGAACTTACTTCCTGCCATCAAGAATCAAGTGAAGGATTCTTTAATATTCCTAGATGGAAGTATGTATTTTGCTTTAGAGAGATTATTATATTGCTCTAGGTTCTTTGAAGACAGGATATTCTTAAGGCTTTTTCTCTTACTTATTCATGTATCTGCTCGTTAATTTATGATTATTTCCCTGGTAAAGTAATTATCACCAGATTTATAGTTTTAGAGTTTGAGGTACCAAGCTGAAATTCTAGAAGTGGTCATTTTATCTAGGATCTTCAGTGAAACATGAAAATGATTCTTAGGGTTAAACTAATTTCTTTTTTGCTGTGGTAAATCTGTATTATTATTATTCTAGTGGAAAGATGCAGTATAAGCTTCACCCTGACAGTCTTTATAACACTCATTTTTACATTTAGCATTTGACCCTTATGGGTAAGGCTTTCTGGCACAATCCATTATTCCATTTAAATATGAATTAGGCACTTTAGTGATGCTTCAAGCATTTGTTGGTAAATATCTAACAGGCAATATAAAATTTTCATTTACTTATCTTACTACCTTTGTTCTAGGTTGGCTCTTACTTGAAATCTCCAAAATTCCCTATTTGGATTGTTGGCAGTGAAACTCACCTCACCGTATTTTTTGCCAAGGTACGCTTTGCAGGATCTCTTTGTTGTTGTTTTTAAGTTTTACATCAGGCAAACAAATAATACTACGTTCATATTTAGTTTGAATCTTTATACAGAGTTCGGTGGATTGTTTCAAAATCTAAAAAAGCGATACTAAAGGATTATACTGCTTGTACGATTGTCCTGCTCTATTTTTGGAATCATTTCAGTCAAGTCTGTCATGATTTAGTTATAATTTCTTTATCTTTACCAACTTTACAAGTTTGACTTCTGATTTTTTTCAGAAATCACTGTGTTATGGTGAAAACAACTGAAATTAAATGTTTTGAGTTACTATTTTCTAGAGGATAAAAATCTAATTTATGTGATATAAAATAGTTTTAGTTACAACATCTAGGAAAATATTTTGAAATTTATTAATAGTTCAGTGATTTAGAAGTCAGTTGCTCTTTTAGGATGGAATATTTCCACAGTTTTAGTGTATATAGTATAACAACATGGAACTAGGTTAAATACATTTGAATATGTTTAAAATTTTTGCCCCCAGAAAACTGTTGCTAAATCCCATACTTTATAATCTTTCTCTTCCCACAATTGAGTGGTTTAGAGTTTTGAATTCAGAAGCCTTTGTTAGCATCCCAGCCTTGCCACTTCCTAACATGGCTCAGCCTCTTTGCCCATGTCTTTAAAGTAGGGTTTAGTAATAGGGTCTTGTTCTTAGAATTGTTGTCAAGCTTAAATATAAAACATTTAGCAGAACCTAGTACACGTTAAATGCCCAGTAAATCTTAGCTGTCATCATCATCATCATTGCCTTTTTCATTATTCTGGTATGCCTGCGTAGACTTGCTAGATGTTGGACTAAAGGGAGAAAATAAAGAATTCTATTTTTGATGTTTCTTGATCCTGTTGCACTTTGCTGGTTACTCAGCGTGCTCTTTCAGCTTGTACTTGTTAGTGTTCTTTATTTGTGTCTGTTGTAAGAAGTATGAATTATATAAATTATACTAAAGACTAAACTGACAGTGCTAGGTTTAGTGGATCTATTTCATTATTTATTACTGTATTTACTTTTATTGTACTGGCAAACATCCAGCAAGTGGGTTTAGTGGCAGATACAGGCTTAACCTTTCCTTACAGGGAAAGCTATAAATACAGTTAAAAAGTACAGATCTTTCTGATTTGTTGTATTTCATCTGACAGCTTTTGCTGTTCATTTCCCTCCTGAAGTAGAGAGGAAGAAGTTAAAAGCAAGTATAACCTGCAGAAACCAAACACCTAATTCCCTGACTGAAGATTTCATCATTTGACTTATTTTAGTGTCAAGTGTTATAAATTTCCAGAAAAGGAAATCAGTTCCAGTTCACATACAGAAATGTGCTTTCAAGCCAATTATTAATTATTTTTATCACAGCCCTTTAACATTAGGAAAACTATTAAATTCTATGAAATATGAAAGACAGATACAATGGTTTTTTTTTAATTTTAACTTTTTATTTTGTGTTGGAGTATATAGCTAATTAACAATGTTGTGATAGTTTCAGGTGCGCTGCAAAGGGACTCAGCCATACATAGACATGTATCTATTCTCCCCCAAACTCCCCTCCCATCCAGACTGCCGCATAACATTGAGCCGAGTTTCCTGTGGACCTACAGAGTTTCCTGTAGGACCAAGGTCCTATAGTAAGACCTTGAAGATAAAACTATTTTAAATCGTAAATTTTATGAGTGATATTTAAGAAATGACTTTGTTGTCAAAACAGTAGAAAAGATTTCATGGGAGATTAATACAAGGAACAGTGTCAGTTGAGCTATGTAACAGTGCAGACGTTCTGTTTTCAAGCACTGGTATATTAGGTATGTTGAGGGCATCATGGGAGTAAGTGATCCGCACCTCTCTGTGAAATACACGCTGTCCCCTACCTGTCCTGGTTTTCTTCATTGTCCCCATTGAAGTTCCCTTTGTTGTTCCCGAGATGCACAGTTGTTCTCCTCACGCCTTTTGTTGCATGGCTCCCTGGTCAGTAGTGAGCCTCATGTGGGGCAGGGACTCTCTCATTGATTTTGTTATCCATAGACCTCAGCCACGTGCAGTGAAAAGTTGAATTGGAGCCATGAGGTGCATATATAGAGAAAAAACAAAGACCCCTGCAACACCAGCTGTATGTAGGCCTCAAAACACACTCAGTGTACACTGGAAATCAGTCAATATTTTTAAATGTTTGTTTGTTTGTTTTTGGCTGCATTGGGTCTTCGTTGCTGCATGTTGGCTTTTTCTAGTTGGGATGAGTTGGGGTCACCCTTTATTGGGGTACGCCAGCTTCTCCTTGCAGTGGCTTCTCTTGTTGTGGAGCCCAGGCTCTAGAACACAGGCTTAATAGTTGAGGCGCATGGGCTTAGTTTCCCCACAGCAGGTGGGGTCTTCTTGGATCAGGGATTCAACCCATGTCCCGTGCATTGGCAGGTGAATTCTTAACCACTGCACCACCAGGGAAGTCCAGTCAAGGTTTTTAAATCTGTCTTCATTTATATGCGTCCTCAAAGCTACTGATAATCCTAATAGGAAAGTGCACGTAAATTTACAGTGATTATAGAAGTTTATGTTAAGATTTTAGGTTCTTTCTGCTGTTATAAATTATAAAATTTGTATATTTCAAATACCTTATCTCTCTTTTAGGGCTCTTAAATTTTGTGCTAATTGTTTTGACACTTACCTTTGTGTAGTTTAGTTGCTCAGTCATGTCTGACTCTTTGTGACCTCATGGACTGCAGCACACCAGGCTTTCTTGTCCATCACAGTATAGGGAATTCATTAATTTCATGAATAAAGCCTTTGCACAAATTTTCCACATTTAGGTTCCAGTGACATTTATATCTTCTAAAAATGTTTTTTCATGACTCACTCTGAAGCTTCTTAAAAGCATGGGTACTTCTTTTCCAGTGAATTTTAGGGCAGTTGGATTTGGATTGCTTGCACATGCTATCTTTAAAAAAAAGTTACATGTAAAGAATTTTTGAAATAAACTGTCACACAGTTGGAAGAACATGTAAAGGGTAAATGATATTAATAAAGTGCTCAGTCTCTCAGTCGTGTCCGACTCCTTGTGACCCCGCGGACTGTAGCCCGCTAGCTCCTCTGACCATGGGGATGCTCCAGGCAAGAATGCTGGAGCGGGTTACCATGCCCTCTTCCAGGGGATTTTCCCAACCCAGGGATGGAACGAACCTAGGTCTCCTGCATTATGGGTAGATTCTTTACCATCTGAGCCACCAGGGAAGCCCAGTATTAATAATACTTGGTAATATTTACTGGGTCCAAATTTAAATTTTTCAAAATTCTATTCATGTAGTGTTTGCCATTTAGATAATACTGTAAACTTTGTTGGTTTTTGCATTACAATAAGATCTATTATTTGGTCATACTTCCTCGGATATTTATATATTTGAGTAAGTGATTTTGGCTGTGAATTATATGTTATTGTTTTTGATTTGTTTTTGATGGGTTTACTCACTTGTGTGTTCCTGACCTGAAATAACACAATTTCCCCTCTCTCTTCCTCCCCCAGAGCTTAAAGTGAATATTGATACCTTTTTCTACAAAACTTGTGTGTTTGTCAGGAAAAGTATTTTGTGTATGCTGACTCCTTTGTACTGAGTATGATGAAATATTATTTAAATAGCATGTTTTAAGGTCATGATTTTAAAGGCAGTCTGTAATTTGGCATTGTGTTGGGTTGGACAGAAAGTTTGTTAGGCTTTTCCATAAGCTATTACAGGAAACCCAAATGAATTTTTTGGCCAACCCAATAAAATGCCTTTGAAAAGCAATAGACTTTCTCATGTGACTTATACACTGGAGGTGATTATAGTTGCAGTTCTCTTCATTTATGTATGTACCCATTTCTTACATATTTACAGGGTTTATTTACTATGTGCCTGGCATTATGCCAGGTGCTGTGAATACAGTGGTGAGGAAAAAATAGATTAGGCGCCTGTTATGGATGTGTGCATTCTCATGGAGGAGGCATTAATCAAAGAGTCACACTTAAAAAATTAAAGCTGTGATGGGTGCTGACAAAGCACAGGTCTCTAAAGGTGGATTAGAGGAAGATTAGGGATGTCTCCTTGAGGAATTGATGTTGAAAATGAGCCCTGAGCCATCAGTAAAATTAAGCTACAGGGAGAGGTAAAAAAGAGCACTCCCTACAAGGGAGATAGTTGGAGCAAGCAAATCACTGCAGAAGGAAGGACTGTGGTGCGAACAGCTGAAAGAGAAGAGGGGGAGCCCTGAGAACTGGAGGTGGGGGCAGGAGGAAGCCGCACAGAAGAGTAAGGGCAGCCACTGGAATTTAACAAGTGGTGTTGGGAGTAGTTTGAGGAGAGAGAGGAAGGAAGGGAACAGGACTAAAAGTACATTTTGAAAAAAACCACTCTGGCTAACTGTAGAAAGCAAACATTGAGGGGTGTCCTAGGGATTAGATAAACAAGACTCCTGTAGTCTTCCTGGTGAGCAAAGCGTAGTTTGATCCAAGGTAACAATGGTAGACATGGATAGAAGTACAGCTGACCTTTGAACAACATGGGTTTGACCTGATTTTACATAGATTTTTTTCATTAGTAAATACTACACAATTCCTGGTTGGGTGGATCTCCAGTCGGTTGAATCTGTGGATACAGAACCACAGATACGAAGGAACTATGAATACATAGGGCCAATTATTAAGTTTCCTGTGAGTTTTTGACTGTGCTGAGGGTCCATGTCCCCATCCCCTGCATTGTTCAAGGATCAGCTGTATATAAATTTGAGAGATTTATTCCTGAGTTGACAGAACTTGGTGATAGATTGAGATAGGTGAGGAGTGAGAAGTTTAATGAGATGTGTGTTTTTAATAATTAAGACCATAGACCCTCAAAAAACTCCACAGCTTTGCACTTGTCAAATGCACCTACTCATGATTAAGGCCATTTATTTTTCTTTGGCTACATTGACAAGGTCAAGATATTGCAGTGAGACGGCCCAG